CTGCACCTTGTTGTCACAGTATTTTTCTTGACTGGGTAATGTCAGGAACCTTCCTGACATTTTTCTTATTCATTCCATTATTAATTGGTTATAGTTACTCCGGTGTTGTTTCATTGCCATCTAAACTTCAATCTCCAGAGGACATCTATACTCCTTTGCAGCATTTATGGGGGCATTTAAGCTGGAAGATAGCCTTACCAACTGAGGGAACCATTTATTCTGATGGGGTCTGTTAGACGGTGTTTGAGAATTGATCGCAACTCTTACAGCAAATTGTTATGTTCAGGTGTCAGCTCTGCTCTGCTCAATCAGCAGTGCTCTCATCTCTGAGTCTGAAGGTAGGAGGTTTATGATCCAATCCGGAGCCTGAATTTTACACTGCCCTATGGAGTGTGCTTTTAGGACGGAGCTGTGTATAAAATCAGCAGGGATGGTGGATGATGGTTATCTTCCTGCTGGCATTTAACAGCGAAGTTGTAAGTGGCAGATGGGCTCATGTATGCATTGGCCCAATTGAAGCCTGTACACAGCCAACACCCGCTTTGGGCGGGCACCTTTCCACATGTGAAGACTGATGGGTAAACCTCCTCGCGGGTTCAGGAGAAGCGAGGGGCCCTCCCGTTTTTATGGTCCATGCCAGGTTCTCCACTCATTGAAAGACAACCCTGCTCACATAACCAACAAGGCCATTCCTCCCCCATCAAATACTCACGACCTTCCCATTTCCAATGCAGTGCAACCTGAGTGGCTCCTGTGAACTCCACACACTTGGCTTCAAGCCACCACACCTTGTCTGGTCTGCTGCAGTTCCTGCAATGGCCACTGCTCTGAGTGGCGCTGAAAAGAATTGTAGTGCTGCAAATGTCCAGCAGCCCTTGGGGTCTGGATTACATCCCTTAAATGACCTGAAACCCCAAATACAGGCAGTTAATTGCACAGCGAACGTAACCTATAGTCTGTGTTGCCATGGTTAGTTGAGGCAAGGTTTCTCTCCAATTTCTGACAGATGGATGGGCCCACTGCTGCCCCATAGATTCCCAGCCCCAACGCTGAATTCATAATTCAGGATGCCTATGGGACTGCTGCACTGTCAGAGGCGCCACCTTTCAGCTGAGAGATTAAATAAAGCCCTGGTTGCCCTCTCAGTTGGATGTTTTTGAAAAAGTACAGGGTAGCTTTTCAGAGAGTCCTTGCTAATACTGATCCCTACACAACATTATTGAAAACAGATTGCTTGGTCATTGTAATGTTGCTGTATGTGGGAGCTTGCTACATGCAAATTGACAACCGTGTTTGCTAAGTTGCAACGTTGTCCGCACTTCGGAAATATTTCATTGGTTGTTAGAGGCTTGTGGTCTGAAAGTTGTTATATACATTCATGAATAAAAGCAAAATAATGCAGATTCTGGAAATCTGAAACACAGAAAATGCTGGTGAAATTCAGGAGGTCTGACGGCATCTGTGGAGAGAAAAAAAGAGTTAATGTTTCGAGCCCGGTTTGAATACGTCATATTGAACTTGAAACATTTCCTCTGTTTCTCTCTGCACAGATACTGCCCTGTTGAGTTTTTCATTTACTGTGTTTTGTATAAATGCAAGACCTTCTTTCATGCATTGACATACATGCATCTGTACTCCTTAAACTTTGATATGTATTTGCAGCCACTCGCATGCAACAGTACACATGGTAAATGACATATTATGAAATGTCAAAGAAGCGATGAGTTGCTATTACCTTTTTACTCTCCTGAGATAATGGTTCCACACTCAGGGTTTTCATTTCCAAGAACAATTCAGAACTCCACAAGCTAACATTCTCTGCATGAGACAGTGCAGACTATGAATTATTTGCATACAAGTAGAACTTGACTCATGCATAACACAATGTGGACAGCAACTATTAACAATTAAAGCAGCCCTTTGATCACCGCAATTCAATGCCTGAAGCTTTCACTTTACTGTAACAGTGAAATATACACAGGCTCCAGTCCTAAAAGAATCTTCCGCACTTAATTCAAAACAAAACTGTGAGCAATAAGTTTATTTGAGGTCTTATGTGATATGAAATTATTCTTCTTCTATCCAACTTTCTTTTCCTCAAGATTAAATTGTGCTCCTGATGTCAAGTTGTGATCATTACTGTCTGGAATCCAAGGCAAATGTGAACTGAGGCCATTAGACTGTTCGATTGTGTATATGCATGAATGAGTGTTGTGTGTGTAAGCATTTCATGTGTGTGCCGAAGAGTTTCTGTTTATGTGTAAGCTTTTGTGCATGTGCGTGTGTGAACATTTCTGCATTTGTGTATCTGGGCATTTTGATTGTTGTTGCGTGTATTTTTGTATGTGTGATTATTTGAGACACTCAGTGTGTGTCTACCTGTTTATGTATTTATATGTGCGTGTGAACCTTTGCGTATTTCTCTAATGTATGTGTGTCTGCCCGTGTTTGGCTGTATATATTTGTGAATGTGTGTCTGCATTTGTGTTTGTGTGTGTGGCTATGTATGTGTGTTTGCCTGTGTAATTGTTTGCATATTACTGCTCAGTACATTCTTGATACTCGGTGAGTCACAGCTGCCAGTGAACTGAGCCATTCTCAAATCTGGCAGCATCTGGAGGAAAGGAGCAGTCAATGTTTCAGATATTACCCTTCTTCAGGACTGGATGTGGGGGTAGGGGGAGCTGCAGATAAAGGGTGGGGAAGGGGTGGAGGCAGAATGGTGGTAAAAGGTGGACACTGGTAGTAGGAGGGACGAATTCAGTTGGTGGCTGGAAGGGAGGTTCAGCAGGTGGAATGGAAGGGAGGAGGTGGGGCTGGAAAGGGAGCCAGGGGATGGGTTATTTAAAATTGGAAAACTGAATGCTGAGTCCTCCGGGCTGTAGGGTGGCCATGCGAAAGATAAGGTGTTGTTCTTCAAATTGAGTTCTCCAATTTCAACCCATCCCCCGCCTCCCTTTGAAGCCCCACTGCCTCCCTTCCATTCCACCTTCTGATCCTCCCTTCCAGCCACCACCCAGATTCATCCCTCCCATCGACCAACAACGTCACACCTGCTACCAGTGTCCGCCTATCACCTACCATTCTGCTAAACCCCCACCCCACCCCCTGCCTTCTTCCACTTTATCTGCAGCTCCCCCTACCCCCACATCCAGTCTTGAGGAAGGGTAATACCTGAATCATTGAATTCTCCTTTCCTCCAGATGCTGCCTGGCCTGCTGTGTTCTTCTAGCCTCCTGTTTATCTACCTTGGATTCCAGCATTTGCAGTTTTTTTTTGTCTCTAACCATTCTTAAATCTGACCAGTTCTCTTCATGACACCACTGTTGAGTTTTTCTGTTCTCTTTCCAGATTCATTCATGCACTTGTGAATCCAACGAGCGAAAATGAAGAGTAGGCTATGCCTAGCAGTTGCTGCTTTCCTTGCAGCTCTATCTGCCCCCTTGGTGGAAGCTCAAGGTAATGTCTCATTTCTCTCCAGCCACTCCTGCACAGAAATCATGCAGCAGCACTACCCACGAGCTAATCTGGGATGATGATCAGCTCTTTCTATTTTCCTAGTGATTGTTTGGGATTCATTTCCCTGGAAATATAATCCTCCTGGAGACTGACTGTAAATAAAACTTAACCTCTTTCTCAATAGGTTCTCCATGAAATCCCTTTTCTTAACAGATCCATCTGTATTTATTGTCATACTTATTTGATTTTGGCAGTGGCTTTCTAATAACATTTTATTTATCCTTAACAGGTTGTGTAAAAGCCCACAGGAATATATTTATATTGTTGCATTAATAAATGTTCAGTGCTATTTACCTGTCACATAACAACTGAGAATTGTTCGAGTACAGTTCAGTTGCCCCATGGATTCAGCTTGTCTATCCAAAGTATACATTCAACTGTGATATGCTAATGATTTTATTCAAATAATGATTTAATAATTATGCTTTAATTTATTTTTCTTTTCTCAGCATATGAATATCATGGCCAAAGTCAGTCTATAACACTTACTGTAAAAGCAAAATCACTGATACAATGAATTAATTTTCTTTAGATTTAGAGATCCTTGTGAAATTAGTCGAAACACAGATAAGAATAAATCTTTCCACAGTATTTACAACGTCACCAACACACAGCAGAGGAATTTTATCACCACATGTTCCACTAAAAATTTCATATTCTCAATCCTTCAGATTACCTTTTTCCTTTCTATTCGTTTTAATCACACTTTATTTTAAATCAGCATGAAATGCAGTACTACAGTGTATTAGATGTTATTGAAATATAAGTCCTTAAGACTTAACTTAATATTTAGGAGAAAATGGCATGAATTTGGATAGCTCTTTATGAAACTGATAACTTGGTGCATTGTAAATCAGATTAGACAATGATGTGCAGGAAGGAACCTATCAGTCTATTTAGACTTCTATTCTAATTGGAAATATCTTTATGCAACCACACTTAACAGTCTCCAAACTCAAGCACTGAAAAGTTCACATCAGTCATTTCAGTTTTGTCAGATAAGAAATCCAGATTGTCTGTCATTGTATGTAGACAAGACCACTGGATATACAGCAGATTGGAGATGTTCCAATTGGCGATAAAGTTCATTCATCCTCCCTGACTGCAACTAATGACCTTAAAAGGCGAGACTCACTTCCTTCAAAGCCACTGGTTAAATGGAGAATTAAAACAGTCAAGTTGTTTGACTTAAACTTGTAGTTGTGTCTTTGGACAATCCTGATCAAAATGATGTAAACGTGGCTTGTTCTAATTAATGTTAGACAGACCGGGCTTCCCCTTTATGGGTCGTACATCAAAGTAAGATACTTTTTCCAAAATGTTTATGATTCACCATTGATACAGAAATCAAAAAAAATCTCAATGACTTTGCTGTACTGTTGTGTTGTCACTAACAAAAAAACACTAAATTTTTACATTATAATTATACAGTATATTGATGTCTTCATAGTATATTTCCATTTATTAAATTGGTCCCAACACTGGCCATAAATTTCATAGGATGATACAGCACAGGAAGTCTAACTATCCAGTTAGACTCATTCCCTCACACAGTTCTGCATTCCCCCCATCTAAGCAATTCTGTTTATTATTTATTGAAGTTCAATGCAGATGATAAGAACATCTTTCGCCAACCATGTTAAATCTGTGGACCCTCCTCACGCGTAGAAACAGTTTTTCCTTATTTACCAAATGCATACCATCCCTGACTGAACACAAATAAACATGCCAACCAGTGGTTGCTTCAGGGCTGAAGTCATGGCAACACAATCCTTTGGTCACTGAGATAGTGGCAGGATGTGGAAGATTGTGATATGTTTAATTGTGGTTTGCTAACATTTGGGAATTGTTTAGAAATGCTTTTTTTTCCTAATCAGCAAGAACAATCGTGGGATTACAAATCTTATAGAATCATGGCTCTTTTTCTCCCAGCAGGGAATCACTTCAAATTAAACCATATTGATTCAGATTTACCAGCGGGGTGTGCTGTTGTGTGTGTGAATGGCATGACCAGCATAACAAAGTGCAACATTCAATGTTGCTGAAAGTTTGAAGGTTTACAGGGGATTTGGGGAAAGAAAATTGTCAACCTGAGGTTGGTGAGGGTCTGCCTGGAAGGGCAATTGTGGCAGGAAACCTCACAACCTTTAAAAGGCACTTGGATGAGCACTTGAAGTGTCATAACATTCAAGGTTATGGGCCTAGAGCAGGGAAGTAGGACTAGCTTCGATTTAGCTTTTGCAGTACAGACTTGATGGGCCAAAGGGCCTCTTTTGCACTGCACCATCCAATGATTTGGATTTTCAAAGGAGGAGTTGGGGTTTAGGCTGCAGAGCCCTCTCTAATGCAAATTCTAAGAGAAGTGAGGAGGCAAAGTCCAAAACAACCATTTGCAAAACAATAAATGCTACTTTGGCAGCCCACACTGCCATCTTGAAGATACGGATGAAGATGCTTCTGGGAATACAGCGTTGACGGGCAAAGGAACAGACCAAGGGCTACACACAAGAGGGGAGGCAGCTTTTCGCACCTTGTACGGACAAGGGAGGCGGCAGCATTTGGACCAGTGATTAGAGGGGGCGCGCAGTATCTCGTACACGCGCTTCGCTTGTGTCACGCGCTTTCGCGGGGACGCGCACACGGGAGACAGTCTCAATTTGGACCGGAGGTCGAGTCAGAACTGTTAATTTTTTTGTTAGGGGTGGTGCTTTTGAGCTAAAAGGTAGATTTTTCCCCTTCTAATAGTCAGAGAAACTTGAAATCTACCAAGTCATGTCTTAAATATATTACTTCTAAATTAAAAGAAAATACATTTTATGTAATTGCATTTATAACAAGAAAACACACTCCATATTTTAATGATACTGTTAGAAACTGATTATTTCAGTATCATTTCCACCGGAGGCGCCAACCTTGCTTGGAAGAAATGGGTTGGAGTCTAAGTTCATGCGGAAAATCCTGCGAACGCGTTAAGTGATCGTTCAGGACGCAGGATGATTCGAATCAGGAATCTCTGGACTCATTGAGAAGGAGAGAAACTCCGGAATAATTGGAATGGTGGATGAGAAGTGATTGCATTTGAGTGAATGTAAAAAAAAATTGCTTTTTTTTCCACACACACGCACACGAATAATTTCCCTGCAGAAACAAAAAAAACATAGACGCACAGACTTCTCCCCCGCTCCCAGAGAGAGAGAAAGAGCGCAGGTTGCTTATATGTACGTGGGTGCTCCGTGCGATCTTAAACCATCTTAATTTAATGTACGCGTCGGATTTTCCACCGAGAAGCGGAACATTTAGCCCTCAGCTCCGTCCTGGGCTCACTGACAGGAGGTGCTGAATGTCTGGACGCACTGACTGACATCCCTCTGCGAATCACTTGCCCCAATTTAAACCAAAAATACACACCCAGGTTGGTAATACTGCTTTTATTTCCACCTAACAATATTTTAATAAAGCAACAACAAAAATGTTCATTTAAAAACTCAGCTCAGTCTTCTCTACCTTTGCATTAAATTTGTCCTGAGCTGTAGATCTTGGAAACAAGAAGAATATTTTACAATGATATTCTATCTTCCCGAACACTAACTACTTTTGAGTTCTCTATCTGTCTTCATATATTAGCTGTGATTTATGCATGTGTATTAATAATGTTTTGTTGGAAAATACAGCATGTTTAATTTGTCTCCATTTTTGGCAGCATGGCATTTTAAAATATAAGAATTATTAATTATGTTTGATTTCTTTACTTGCAGCCAAAGTTTAGCATGAGTTTAGCAATATAAAAAGTGACTCTAGAGTTGAGAATGTAATGCATCTCTATCTCCTCCTATGACTGATTGATAAGCACATCTGAACCCGAATCAGAAACACCTCCCAGTGCATGTACACTTCAACATGGAGAATATCATTATAAAATATGTGGAACAGTCTTTTGTGTTCAAGCTTTCATTGTGTGAGGGTGGAAACTTGTGTTACTGCCATCAGTTTCAATTTGCATGAGTGTGAGACACTAATTAATGTGACAATATCAGTCTCTAATCAGAGTTTTAAAATCCATTTGTCTCCTAATGTTTTTTTTTAATTTCTTTTTTTTGTAACTTTTGTTACAGTGCTTCTGTGTGTAAAGGGATCCCTGTATTTTGCAAGTGTCTGGGGTGGGGAGGTTGGGGGAACTATAGTCTGAATCTACAGGGGTAAGGGGACTTATGAAGAAGACAGAAACTGTGGGTAACCCAAGCTCCATAAACACCTGACAGGATTGAGGTGCAACCCTGGTTTTACTTCCAAAGCCACAAATTACTCTTCATCAAAATCCCAGGAGAACAACATTGTGAGGTAGTGAAAGATAGACACAGGATGCTATTCAGTCCATCTTTCAATCCTATTATTAAATGGATCTTTACCTTAATTCCACTTACCTGGCCTTACCCTCCCTTCTTAATATCTGTGCCAAAAATGAATCTCAAGCTTTGCATTTTAAATTGCGTCCATTCCATTCCCTTCCCCATATCAACAGATTCTGGGGCAGGAGATTCCAGACTTTCGATACTGCTTGTCTGAAGAAATCACATCTGAATAGCATAGCTCTCATATTAAGCCTTGTTCTTTCCTTTTCCCCAGCAGAGAAAATAGTTTCTCTGTATCTGCTCTATAGAATACCTTAATGATCATATTGTCATTTGGTAGTACAGAACTTGAGTATTGGTCGAAAAAGATAGAAAAACTGTCCGAGTTTTTCAACTTGCACTCATCAGGAAAAATGTAAGAACACAAAGTTTTCAAGGCAGCAGTGATTTCTGCACTGCAGAAATTCTCCAAAGAATCTCAGACAGCACGTTCCAAACCCCCAACCACTTCCATCTAGAAAGACAAGGGCAGCAGATACATGGAAACATCAACACCTTCAAGGTCCCCTCCAAGCCACTCACCATCCTGACTTGGAAGTATGTCACTGTGCCTTCAGTGTCGCTGGATCAAAATCCTGGAATTCCCTCCCTAATGGCATTGTGGGCCAACCCATACCAGGTGGACTGCAGTGGTTTAAGAAGACAGCTCACCACCACCCTCTCAGTGGCAACTAGGGATGAGCAATAAATACTGGCCCAGCCAGCGACGCCCACATCCCAGAAATGAACTTAAAAAAAATTACACTCCATGAGTAAAGGGTGCCGATTGGCTTGCAAGTCGAATCTGATTGGTTGAGGTGTTACCATGAGGAATGCACTGGGGATGTGTTGTGGCCACTATCCTGTTTATTGCCTGGACATGTTCCTTTACCTGCAGAATACAGAAGTCACTGCCCATGAATAACAATCAGGCAAGTCAGGTTAAAATGCTGGTATGTGGCAGGCATGGGTACAGGAGAGAAACAAACCAAAATAGATACACGGTGAAATACAGGCAGACTCTGATCATATAACAGAAGTACTGTTGTTCGCAACACCCGCGTTTCTTTGTGAAGGTCCCCGTGAATGTCTTGCAGTGTCTCTGGCTGTGGATTATGTAACTGTGAAAAAAGCTTGTCTGTTCAAATGTTGTGAGCATTTCAGCAAGATCTCTCTCAAACACCAGCAGGTGCTTTGAAGATTGCCAGCGTTTGGCCTGGTGTACAAATTAACAGCACCTTCTTGTAATTTATTTCAATACAGAAGCTTTAGCAAATTATCAGAAGATCATACAGTAATGGTATTTATGTGTGTGCATCTTTTAGCGTTTTTAATGTTCAACTGGTGTTTAAACTCAGAGGGCAATTCACTTTGGTTTCTTAACTAAAAAGAAGTTTTATGTTTTTAAAAGAAGTCAAAGTCAGCATTTTGTATTCACATCAACACTGATCTTAAACATATAACCACAACTTTCCATCATTCAGGTTTAATTTAGCATCAGATCTACAATGATTGTAATAATTAATTAAATATAATGACAAATTGATTAAAATGATGTTCAATGTTATACACATTTATTAATTCGAGTGGATGAGAACAACTACTATTAGTACTAAAGTAAAAGTTATAAAATCTCTTTATTTTTTGAATCAGCTTTCAAAAACTGCTTTTGTGAAGTAACTGGAAAATTTGAAATCACATTATTTGGTTGCTGAATTCCTTTTTAAATTATATATATAAACGTAAGAGAACAACTGTTTGCAATTAATCTTTCAAGATTATTGGAGATGACGTTGCACTAATTGGACATTCTGAAATTCCTAACTCTCGGGCAAGTTGTGAAGTGTCAAGTGTTCTATTCTGGCAAGTAATTTGACAAGCTTTGTATTGAGTGCAGCAAGCATGTAACAACCAAAACTTGTCCCCGGATTGAGTGTCAGATCTTCACCTATTTTTGGATTATTTTGTATCTGTGTAGCTGCTCTACTTGTACTTGGGTGTGTTAGTAATTGTTGTTTTATCCTTTTCTGTTTTCTGCTGCAACTTGTAAACTTCCCTGAGTGCAAAACCCAATGTCTTGTGCTCTCCATGTGCTGTTTATATTTTATGTCAGTATTAATTTGTGTTTACGTCAGCTTTTGATACTCGTGTTATATGGTCCTCTCTACTCACCAACAATAGACATCAAACTCCTAATGCTTATTGTTGGAAGCAAATTTATGCAAAGATGTAGGTTTCGAAATGCTTATAGCTGCCATTCGGCCAACTCTGCTTTTAAGCATTGCAGTTTGAACCATCTTTTCATAAAAAAAATTGTTTTGCATTTATCACATCGCGGGAATCCTACCTGAGACTAACGTCTTCCCCTTTGTGACATTTTTCTCTCTGCAGTGGAGCCTCCTTCAAATTTGAAGTTTAAAATTTTAACTGAAAATAGTGTTCAAATGATGTGGAGACGCTCACCCAGCAGAGTACAGGGGTACAGGCTTACGATAGCACCCACCACTGGTGAGTAAATGTTGTAGCAACTGCCACTGACTGAACAGTGAACTTCCATTACAACACAGCTAAATTTCAATTACTGTTTTCGGGAGATCCACGCCATAAATCGCTGTCACTTGCCCCACCACGAAATTGTTCTGGCTCAGGAGGGGGCCATTCAGCCCATTTTGTCTGCACAGCTCTTCATATGAGCACCTCACCTGGTGCTATACCTCCTGTCTTCTACCACAACTCTGTATGTTCATCCTTTTCAAATAATCTTCTAATTTCCTTTAGACAGCCTTGACTGAACCTCTCTCCGGTACACCCAGGCAGCATATTCCATACTCAGATCAGTTGCTGTATGATAGAGATTGTCCTTATGTCACTTTGACATTTTTTAAATCAATTACTTTAAATCTGTGGCCTTTCTTGGGTGGGAACATTATCTCGCTATTTGCTCTACACAGAGTTTTCATGATATTGAATATTTCAATTGGATCTCCTGCCAGCCCTCTCTTGTCCAAGGACAGTAGGCCCAACTTCTCCAATCTATCTGTATACAGAAATCCCTCACTCCTGGAATCATTCTTGTAAACCTTTTCTGCATTCCTTCAGCTACCTTCACATCCTTCCTAAAGTGCAGTGCCCAGAAAGTGCCCAGTGCTGCATTTGATGCTGAGCTGGTATCTTGCATAAGTTCGACAGCACCTCCTTACTCTTGTGCTCTATGATTCCAATAATAAAACTTAGGATAGGGTACACTTTATTAACAGCTTTTCCAACTTATCTTTAATGACATACACACATATGTACCCAGGTTCCTCGGTTATCTTGTAATTTATACTGTCTCCCCATGGTCTTTCTACCAAAATGTATCACCTCGTGCTTTTCTGTATTGAGCCTCATCTACATCCACACCCACCCCTACAACTACCCACTCCTTCATCTATACCATCCTCTTCATGCATTCTACTGATTCTTTGAGTTCAGTATCCTGGGGCTACATTTATGGCAATAGAACTTCTTGAAAAAATGTACTTTTACAGAAATGATGGGAATGTTTTCTTTGTTGCAAACTGCAATTTAAAAATGCTAATTTAGCTGATGTTTATATTAATATAATAGTGCCTTTGCTGGTTCACGAACAATGTAAGAAATTAAGTTGCATTCGAAGAGAAAAAGGTTTTTTTTTTGCACAGGCAGTGAAATCTGCTTGATGAAATATTTTGTTTTCTTTCTTAACTATTTTTCCCCTCTTCTGATAGTGCTGACCCCTTAATGGGAATGCTTCCGTGGTTACTGGTAGGTCTCAGACTTAGCTTAAAAAAATATGTAAACGAGTCTAGTTCTTGAATGTGGACTGTGCATCATTCCTCTGGCAAGTTGCCCCATGAAACCCAGGCAACCATTTCCATTTTTAACTAAATTTCTTATTTGCTCGGTTTATGTTGTTTCAATTAAGTTGGTTTGGAATGGGTTGCATTTCTTTTGTGATTGGCTTGTTGCTCCCTCCTTTGTAGATACATTCTAAATGAGTGCAGTGAAATCTTTCAGAATATGCAACTTAATGTACGTACGTGAAAACAAATGGGAATGTGGACAATGTTGACTAAGGTACTATGTACGGTTGGCATTCATATAGCTCCTGAAAGCAAAAAGCCTACATATCTCTGGCCTCAATAGTGAAGCTTGGCTATTTCATCATGGGGCATGGTGGAGGTACTTGGAACATTAGGAATAAGCCAGGATCAATTTGTACATTCAAGGAAGAATCAATGCGGGGATTGTGGTTGGACCCCACTTGGGGTTTTGTGAGCAGACTAAGGCACACACCTTACAGAGGAAATATTGGCCTTGGAGGGAGTACAGCATAGGTTTATAAGAATGATACCTGAGAATGATACCTGGACTTCAGTTTTAACATTGAGGAAAGATTATACAAAGTAGCCTTGTTTTCTCTAGAATTCAAAAGGTTAAGGGGTGATCTGATTAAAGTCTTCAAGATATTAACAGGAAGAGACAGGGTAGGATAGAGGTAAACTATTTTCATTTGTTGGGGATTCTAGACTTAGCCTGCAGAGCCTGAAAATCTAGGGCCAGAAAGTTCAGGAGAGATGTTGGGAAACAGTTCTACGAATGAAGGGTGGTAGAGATTTGGAACTCTCTTCCATAAACGGCAATGAATTCTAGATCAGTAATTTTAAATCTGAGCTCGGGAAATGGGCCAAAGACACGTATATGAAGTTTGGCCACAAATCAGCCATGAATTAATTGAGTGATGGCGCAGGCTCGAGGGACTGAATGACGTAATGCTGTTCCTAATTGATGACTAAATACAATATTACAGTGTACCTGGGATTAGCGCAAAGCATTGTTTGATGTGATTAAAGGCTGAAAATTAAAGTCTCTATTTTCCAAGGTGTAGTTAAATCTACTGAGATCATTCATTGACAACATAATCTTACAATTAACACTTGTATATGATGATTTCTTTTAAAAAAATGTTATCATGATTTATAGATGTTTTATCCTGACAATAGATCAGGTTCAGAGTGAGTCAAGTTGGTTCTCAAGAGGATCCAGAAAGGAGATGAATTTATCTCCTTGGAATTTCACATGGGGAATGAAGGTATTAGATCTTAGAAACTGGAGGATGCCATTCAGCCCTCTATCCTATTCTATGATTGGATGAGATAATGGCTTAACTATATTTTAAATTGATCCACCAAACTTAGCTGTATATGCCTTTTGTTTTTTTTGACCAGCAAAGATTTGCCAATCTCATTGCAATATTAATTAAAATCTAATTTTTGTGTAAGAGCATTATACACTTCTAACACCATTTGTATAAAGAATTATTTTCTAAACTCTCTCCTGAATGGCCATCCTTTTCCTAAACTCCCTCCCAATAGCAATATCCTGAAAACCTCAATCAATTCACCTCTGACCTACCACATTTCAAAAGAACTAAGGGTCCAACTTGCATTGCAAGCATCAAACCTAGATCAAATTTAGCTGTCTTAACAATTTCACGCTGGCTTTCCCAACCTTGTTTCCATTTTGTTTTAAGAACATTAAGAGGCAAGTAGTCATCGGAAGTTTGAAGTATTTGAAGTAAGAACACTTCACAATCTATTGCTTGCCACTGTGGGTGAATTATGTTTCTGATCCACATGCCCATGTGATCAAAAGGCCTTAGTAAAATGAACCCCAGGTAGAGATAACTTTGTTCATCCCCAAGGGGTTGTCAGTAAGTGTAAAACTTGCTCATTAAGAGTAAAGGTGGAATTTGCATTTTGCACATGAAATCGCAAGCCTATTTCTCTCAAGTTCATACTGGGTCTGAGCACTTGATTCACAATAAACTTGTTTCCTTTTTAAACTTCATTGCCGAAGCGATGTTTATAATGCAATCAAGCCTCTGAAATTGGTGTCTGAAATCTTAATTTTCTGGTGTTGAAATCACTGCTAAAATGCTCCCACTGGGGAAGAACTTGATAAATCCCCAATATCTTTGAAATGGGAGGATTTTGCATTTTGATCTGCAAGATTAGGAACTTTAAGTGAGTTGTCAGTCATCAGTGACAGCATTTTCCACTTGCAGTCCAGATGGAGAGGGAAAAAAGCACCAAATGCATAATTCCATTTCTGATTCTGTAACAGGCATCACGTGAACTACTGCCTGCTGGTGTCTAGACTAACTTTTGAAACTGGCATCCTTAGGGAAATGCTTTTAAGTTCATATCCTGCTCATTGCCGCTGATGTGATCTCTGTCATGTACTTAGGGACCTGATTCTTTTCATTTCAGTTTTACATGTGGTCTCCATTGTGAGAAGTGAGAGCAAAGTAATGGAATGTAGGCAGAATTCCATCATCTTCCTTCCTAATGCATATTCCTTAGAGGGCTGAGCTGGTTTGGTGGGGGGGGGGGGGGGGGGGAGGTGGTGAGGATGAGGGAAGGTAATAATCTGTTCCAGATGTTGCTTTTTCCATTCCATTTGAGGAAAAAAAAAGCTGGACAGTCTTCAGCATAAAGTCATCTACAGATGAATAGTCAAAGAGATGAGAGAAGCCCATTGAACTGTCACCTCTCAGCCCTCCATACCAACCTCTGATCTTAACGTCGGATTGCACTTTGAACTTTCCGATGACTGCTTGCCTCTTCATGTTCTTTAAACAAAATGGGGACACGGTTGGGAAAGCCAGAGTGAAATTGTTAAGAGATCTAAATTTGATCTAGGTTTGATGTTTGCAATGCAAATTGTGCCCTGAGTCCTTTTGGATAATTTTTACTCACTGGAGTTACAGTTAAATTTATGGGAACCAAATAGTTCCTGATTAGATTATGGATTTTGTTTGTTCCAAATCTCGTGGATTACTTTGAAGTATTATTTGGTTTTATCTTATCCAGCCTATAAATTATTTTACATACCTTGACAGGATTCTCCCTTTAATATCTTCTTTGAAAAGCATGTGGTTGGCTAATCTTCCCTTATAGTCCATCCTCTTTGACTGTGCATTTTCTCCAGTGTGTCTGTATCAGTGTGGTTTTTACACGTGGCTGAATTGAACCCCAGACCCATCATGACTTCACCAATTTAATGAAACCTTAGCCTAATCTCTGTGAGTTTGTACTGGATTTTTCTGTAAGAATATCCTTCAGTGTTTGCTCCTTTACCCAAACCCAAGATGCTTGGCGCTCCCAGTTTGGTGAATGGGACGAATGGCCTCCTGATTGTATGAACTATCATTCTAAGTTGTCTTGCTAACTTTTTCATTGACAGCCTCTTTCTCCTTATTTTGTGCATATTTAGTAACTAACATGCATTCTTTACATTTCACAAAAAAAGGTTTTACTCCTTCTTTGTCATCTCAGTTGCACCGTAATCAAAATCTCTTTCCACAAACCATTAGATACATCAACTTCCTTCACTTATCTCCCTGTTTCAGGATTGTCCACATATCAAATTACTTTTTCGTGACCAGATAAATTGTATAGAACATTTGAACCCAAATCAATGGCCACTACTCAGAACCTGTCCTAATCTGGTAAATCTCATAAACCACAACAAAAACTTACATTTATTGTTTTCAGACCAATAAGAAACCAAGACCCTGTTCTGCATTAGAGTCCTGAAGCTTTATAGTTCAATAAAGAATCTTAGAAGATTCATGTCAAAATGTTCAATTACAAACAGGAGCCCTTCGTCAAAAAAAAGGCAAAGGAAGTTTATCAAGTGGGATTTTCCCTATTTGTGTGCATTTTGGCTATGAGATCAAATTACTATTAAGTAAATATCCACATTCTACGCTTAGAATGCATTTTTGCTTATTATCTGTGTCTAAAGTGCCCGTATGAAATTAATGTTCACAGAAAAGAAGGATATTGCTTTTAAATAACTCCAGGTCCAGAGGAACTACAATAGTTAACATTTTTTGATTTTGATTTGATTTGATGTGTTATTCTCACATGTACCTGGGTAGAGTGATAAGTTTTGTTTTCCATGCAGTACAGGCAGATCATACCATACAAAGTGCATTAGGGTGATAGAGTGAGGAATACGGTGTTACGGCATTAATAAGCCTCTCATAATGATGGGCAGTGCCTTTACAAATCTCCATCATACTTCTTCGTGCCTTAAAATACAACAGCGTATACCTGGCTCAAGGAATATATTTGTCTTTCATAGAACATTGAAAATAGGAGCAGGAGGAGCCTATTTGGCCCTTTGATCCTAATTTGACCTTCATTATGGTCATGGCTGATCATCCAACTCAATAGCCTGTTCCTGCTTTTCCCCAGTATCTTTTGATCTCTTTAGCCCCAGGTGCTATAATCTAATTTTTTCTTTAAAGCATTCAATATTTTGGCCTCAATTGTTTTCCAGTGAATTCCACAGGCTCCACACTCTCTGGGTAAAGAAATTTCTCCTCATCTCAGTCCTAAATGGTTTACTCCTTATCCTGACCCCGGTTCTAGACTCCCCCGCCATCAGGAACATCCTTCCTGTGTCCACCCTGTCGAGAATTACCGTATTAGATTTCACTACCTCAGCCACTCAGACCCCAGTATTCTCTAGAAGATAGCAATGCTGATTACTTTCATTGAGTTTTGGAAAATAACCATCTGATATTTTTTAAAAAGCTCACTTTTCTAAAGCCATCTGCTTTGTTACTTTTGTCCCTTCGATGAGATTGCCAGCAATTCCTGGATTTAATCATATCATCGTCACTGGTCTCCAGACAATCACTATTGTCTCATATTTTTGGAAATTACCCGACTGAAAGAACCTGATTTAGAGATATATTTCTCAAAGCAGCAGTATGTCATAACACACTTAATCACAAAGGGCTTGATCATTTTTTCTGTTTGCTTGGCAAGTCTTGCAGTGACGCCATTGATGCTAATTTTGATATTGGCCAGTGCTTTGAAATAATGCTAGCTCATAGCAGCGCATCACACATCTCCACATTTTTAAATCCACGAAGGTTAATTGTCAACACTTGTGATTATACTGTTCCCACTTGGTCATGCTTTCCCGCACTGCCATTTGGCCTAACAAAATGTTTGCAGTCCTTGAGACAAATCTGCAATGTATTCCTCTTTTCGGCCTCACTCAGAGAAAATGTATTGATCAGTTAATTGATCAGCCTGTGAGGAAGAGCAGGAGGGAGGGTCATAGATTGCAGAAGGAAGTAATCTACCATCGGTTACAGAAATTAGATCAAGCCAGCCTCTTTCTATTCTGGTGTAGCTTGGCACCAACATTCTCCTTGCCTTAAGATGTTTTGCTGCTTAAAACGCACTATATAAATACACATTTTTGTTGACGCAGTTTGAGGACTTAAAGAGAATATCAGCCATCCCTCAGTGTGTGGAAAGTTGTCTGAATACAACGGTGATCCTTGGAAGTGTTGCAACTCCTCTATGTTAAGCCTTGAGACATCACAATATTCATTACAGCCTTAGTCTGAAAATGGTCAAAAGAGCTGAATTCCAGAAGTGATGTGAGAATGACTGCTCTTGGCATCAAATTTACCAACAAGCTGATAAGCAACATTTGCTCCACACAAATGTCAGACGATGAACGTGTCTAACAAGAGAGAGTCTAACCATCACTCATTGAAATTCAATGGGATTTCCCTGACTGAATACTCCCTTATCAACATCCTGGAGGATTATCATAGACCAGAAGTTGCATATTGAGGCTTCATGTGTAGGTCAGAGGCTAGACATTTTACAGTGAGTAACTCACCTCCTGCAGGATGGGATTGTGGAGGGGATGGGATTTGTTGATGGGAGCCAGGGTGTGGGGGGCGTAGTTGAGAAGTGATGAGGGGTGGGTGAAAGGTGGAGGTGACATCTTTGACTCCATGTTATTGAGAAAAGTTAAAGTCTGAGAAGGTGCTTGTGCCTGATTGTGATCCAGGAGATCATGCTTAAAGATGTGTGCACATCACTGGTGATTGAGGACGGGGTCTGGATAGCTCCGTAGGAGTAATTTGAGATTGGGCATCTGCTGGGTGTGGCATCCCTTTGAGCAATAGGTAACTTCAATGCCCTAAAGGATATTAGTGAACCAGATGAGCTTTTACAACAACTGATAGTAGTTACCCGATCACCATTTTTTTTCCTGGATTTTCACAGGATTAAAATTACACTATCTGTCATAGTAAGATTCAAATCTCTTGAACATTGGCCTGGGTTTCTGCATTACTAGTCCAGTGACAGTATCGCAACACCACTGCCTTGACTATAACTCCATAATTGAATAGCTTGCTGACATTTGTGGATATTTAAAGTTGAGATAGATAGAATCTTGAGTTGGGGAATCAATGGTTATGGGGAAAGGGCAGGGAAGTGGACGTGAGAAATGTCAGATTAGCCATGATCCTATGAAACGGCAGAGCAGGCTTGAGGGGTTCAAATGGCCTTCTCCTGTTCCTATTTCTTATGGTCTTGTGGTCATTCAAGAACTTAGCTCATTCGTAAAAGCTGTTGCCACACATCTGGCTGAGCCATTCCCAAAGCCAACAATAAGCTGGACCGAAAACCTAAGGTTGGAGGTCAGTTCAGGAATGCAGACATGTTGACCCCAGTGTTCCTATTTATAAAGTGCTTTGTGATTTTCAACCCAGTTGATTCCTGTTGTGGTACTATCTAACCAATATTTATCTGTGGAATGTACCCTGGAAAAAATGGGCTTTTGTTCCCGTGCATTTTCTTTTGTGAGATGGACAGAAATGAAGAAAATGCATGTTAATTTATGAACCTGCTTCCACAGTGTGAGACTTCTCAAAGAGTGCCTGCATTTGCAAAATCCATTCTACCTCTTTCATGACAGGATGGAGAAAGGAAAGGGAAAAAAATCATTGAGGCCTGAAACATAAGCAAAATGCATCCTTATGAGCTGAAGTCTATTTGCATTTCTGCATTTTTGAGCCTGTCAAGTCTCTTTATATCTATTGGTTCTCAAATTAATTACATGTAACAGTTGTTAAGGTGCAGCTGAGAATCTTTTTCGCTATGTTGAAAAGTCCAGTGGTAAATTTATTATAACTGATTCTGCTAGCTAGTGATAATTGCTATCTTTACACTTCATCCAATTTTACCTTGGATTTGTTAGTTTCCTTCCAGGCAGGTCAGGTTAAAATTACCTATCAGAGTTTATTGTGGATTTATAAAAGACACAAAAAGTGTTTCACTTTTATTCCTCAAAGTGACTTTTTTAAGGCTCACATATCCATTGCAATACCGTTGTGTTTTTTAATATATGCTCTTCTTGTCTTTTCAATGGATCATTTGCTCTCTTACAGTTGGATCTGTAAAGGAAAGGTTATTACCGCAGGGTGCAAGCAAAACAACGTTAACAGACTTAATTACTGATGTGGAATATGTGGTGACGTTAGTTGCCTTTGACCGTTCATCAGAAAGTGTACCAGTCTATGGACAACTCACAAGTAGGTACAAACTGCATCTTAAGGCTTATATATGGGTTAAGGGTGTTTAAGAAAAAATCTCCGTACATGTGTATATACTAACCTTTATTATGTGTGCATCTTGTTTCTATTTATTACATCTTTTACACTAGTTAATGTCCTGATTAAAGGGCAGTGTTAGGTACCTTGGTAGGAACCTGAAGAATACAAGCTCTAATTCTATCAATGACCAATTGTGAAAGTGAATTAAAGAAACCTGTCCTTTCCTGGTCTAGCACCAGATTAAAAAAAAAGTATGGATTCCAAAATTTGCTGGATTGTTATAGAAAACCTGTCTGGTTCATTCAAATTCTTCAAGGAAAGGAAACTACTGTCCCCTTTTGGACTGTGTGTGAACATTTTCGGGCCCCTCATGGATGAATGCAGACAAGCAGACAAATACTGTGAGGCTCCTTGCTGACTCAGTCAGTAAATCATTAGATTCTTCATCACAGAGTCATGGCTTTGAGCCCTGCGCTATCTCTTGTGTCCTTTTAGGGCTCTTGTAGCACAGTGGCAAGTGTCCCTGCCTCTGGGCTAGAAGGTCTGGGTTCACTTTCCACAAGCTCCAGAGATGCGTCATAGAATCTGTGAACAGTTGGTTAAAATATTTACAATCAGCTGTACCCATGTTTGTTTGCTTCATGAACCAGCCCACATATTTCAGTTCAGTCCAGAGTTGTATAGTTACGGTTAATTGTCAGGGAATGAATAAACATTTTTGCTGGTTTACATATTTATTTGCTTCTCTCCTAGTTCAGTCAGATCGCACACCAACTAAACGACTGAAAAAAGTAGAAGAACTTTCTCAAAGTAAGTTTGATGGGTTTATTTTCAGTCTCCTTACATACACTCAATGTACAGAAACACAAGCAAAGTCGGCAACAACATGTAATAGTATGATCTCAGAAGGACAAGGGCAGCAGACACACTGGAACACCACCAGCTGCCAGTTTCTTTCCATGTCATGCACCATCCTGACTTGGAAATGTATCACCATTCTTTCAGTGTTGCTGGGTCTAAATTCTGAAACTCTGTCCCTAATGGCATTGCAAAGGTACCTGCACACCATGGACTACACTGGTTCAAGAACACAGCTCACCATCATTTCTCAAGGGCATTTTGAAATGGGCAATAAATGTAGTTCCCACCGCTGATGCCCACATCTTGAGAATTAATTTTTAAAAATTCACATTTATTCTAGTCCCAAGGTTCTTAACATTGCTATTATGATCATTTGACAGTGAGCCATGACAGAAAGGTTACTAGGAAGTTCAGAGGAACAGTGGGATCTTGTCCACAGAAGCCTGAAGAGAGCAGGACAAGTTAATAGGGAATTAAGAAGGCATTCGGGACACTTGCCTTTATCTGTCGAGGCATAGATTGTAAAGGCAGGGAGGTTAGGTTAGAGCTGTACAGGACTTTGGTTAGGCCACAGCTAGAGTTCTGTGTGTAGCTCTGGTCACCACACAATAGGAAGGATGTGATTGCACAGGAGGGGGTGCAGAGGAAATTCACCAGGATGTTGCCTGGGATGGAGCATTTCAGCGATAAAGAGAGGCTGGATAAGCTCAGGTCATTTTCTTTGGAACAGAGAAGGTTGAGTGGCCACCTGATAGAGATGTGTAAGATTATGAGGCACATGGACAGGGTGAATAGCAGGCAGTCATTGAAGGGTCAGTAACAAGGGGGTATAATTTTAAAGAGGAAGACAAGAGGTTTAGATGGGATTTGAGGAGAAGCTTTTCACCCAGAGGGTGTTGGAGTTTGGAATGCACTGCCTGGGAAGGTAGTTGAGGCGGGTAACCTCACTCGTTAAAAACGTTTGAGGTTATGGGCATAGTGTGGGAAAGTGGGATTAGTTTTGGGTGTAGAATATTTTTGCCAGCACAGAATGGATGGGCTGAAGGACCTCTTTTGTCCTGTATTATTCTATGATTCTCAGACATATTAGCATTGGTTAGCAGAAGCCTCATTGAAGAAGTAGCTTTTAGTTTGAGATTTGAAGAGGAGAGATTTGTGAAGGAAGTTTCAGAGCTTAAGACCCAAGCAACTGAAGACTCAAATCGCTAAGTGATTAAAAATTAATGATGCGCTGGAGGCCAGGATTCATGTAAGGCGTAGACCTTAGAGGGCTGCAAAATTGGTGGAGGTTGCAAATATCAGGAAGGCCTCAGATAAGTTTGAAGACAAAGATGACAATTTTAAACTCGAGGAGCCACTGGACAAGAGCTAGTGTAGGTCAGTGAGGTGATGATGGGTGAATTGAACTTGGTGTGAGAGGATTTGGGCACAAGGCTTGTGGATGACCACAAGTTTACAGACTTTGGGAGGTGACAAGTTCACCAGTAGAACTTTGGAATGGTTGAATCTGTAGGTGACATTCTTCAGATGTGGCTCCAAATTGTACATGAGGATGAAGTCATGTTAGGATCTCCATTGTTGTTATGGTGGCTGTTTTGATTGTTGCTGCTCGGAAAAAGTTGCTCCCTATGGTCCTCATGTCTTCTCTTGTAGTGTTGTCTGTGAGAGCAGGGGGTGGCTGCATGCTTGAAAGCTGAGAGCCAGTTGCTGTAGCATTGATGCCTATGGAGTTTTGTCATCAATGAGTCAAGACACATGTCGACCTGTCTTTGTGTTCTGATAATGTTGATATTTGTGGGACTTTTAAACTGTGCTGTGAGATTAATTCTCCAATCAGTGAAACCCCTTTGACAGAACAGTGCATTTAGAACAATTGTTTACAGAACAGTGCTGGACACTGTCTGGCATAAAAGTGGGAGCTGGAATAAATCAGTTTACCTCAAAAACAAACCACATGTTGTTAATTGTAAACCCAGATGTGGCTAATTGCATTTCTAATTCATAGTGTGTGTGTGTGAATTCTTAATCTTTGGCAAATCACTAAGATGAAAAGGAGAAAATATGTTTTTTTTATGTTGTGAGCATAAAGTTTCCTGATTACTGAATGTTTAACTTGGTCTGTTAAGTTTTTTAGTCTCTCATGGGATGTGGATGTCACTGGCAGAGCTATCATTCATTGCCCACCCCTAATTGCCCTTAAGGTGGTAGCAAGCTGTCCTCTTGAACTGCCACAGTCCATGTGATATACATAGACTTTCAGTTCCATTCAGGTAGGAGGTCCAGGATGTTGACCCAGTGACAGTGAAGGAACAGCAATATAGTTCCACATCAGGATGGTGTGTAGCTTAGATGGGGCCTTGCAGGGAATGGTGTTCCCATGTATCTGCTGCCCTTGTCTTTCTAGATGGTGGATATTACAGTTTTGGAAAGTGCTGATTATCAAGATTCATTGAGTTGTAATGCATCTTATGGATGGTTCAGATCCTTGCCACTGTGTGGTGATAGTGGAAGATTTAAGCTAATGAATAGTGTACCATTCAAGAGGGTTACTTTGTCCTGGATAGTGTCAAACCTCTTGAGTGTTATTGGAGCTGCATTTATCTAGGCAAGGGGAGAGTATTCCATCACCCTCCTGATTTGTGCGGTGTAGGTAGTGGACAGGCTTTGGGAAGGCATAAAGTGAGTTACTTGCTACGGGATTCCCAACCTCTGACCCACTTTGGTAACTACAATATTGATGTGGCTGATCCAGTTCAGTTTCTGCTCAGTGGTAACACCCATGATGTTGACTGTGGTGGATTCAGCGATGGTAATGCCGTTGGCTATCAATGGATCGGATGATTATTTGGATAGAAACAGTGTGCAGGGATATGGGGAAGAGACTAGAGCTTGGCACCAGGGAATAGAACCAGTGCAGGCACATATTTACCGTCTCACTCATTACAGCATTGGCAAGGAAGGCTCATAAAGTTCCAGCAATCTGAAGCTTCCACAGACTGCATAAAATCTGTTGAAGCACAGACTCAACTGAACACGTTGTGTTCTCTGTAAAAACACCTGCCAAGTCTTTCCCTTTCTCCCCTTACGGTCAATCCATCAAACTGTGATGTGTAAATGTATTGGGTGTTTTCTAATAAAACTAGAGAACATGGCTAAAACAGAGTCATTATGCTGGATGATGCTGAAGTAGATAAGTGGTCATGCGTCTGCACATAGTCAACAAGCGAAATCTCTGTTGATTGTTGATTTTACGTCTAACTTTCATTTACAATTTGTTTGATCAACCTCATTCCATATTTTTGGAATCTTTGGATCATTTAGACAGAAGGAAGTCATTCAGCCTGTGGTGACTCTGTGAAATAGCTACTCAATTAGTTCCACTCCCCTCCTCTCTCTCATAATCCTTGCACATTGTTCATTTTCAAGTATTTATCCAATTCTGGTCTGAAAGATATTATTGATCCTGTTTACATTGTACCTTCAGGCTGTACACTTCAGATTAGGTTCATGCTACGCTACATGTAATCTCACCATACTGTTCTGTAAAATCTCCTAAACATCCTGTTTTGACACCATTACCTTGATTACTTGAGATAATCTCTTTACCTTAATTAATTTGTATAATATTTGATTATTTGTTACTTTTGTTGGTCCCCCATCATACAACTATGATACCTACTCATATTATTGCAGCCATATGGTTTATCTCTAGCACCAGTTTACTTTTGATTATTTGTGATTATCTCTCTGTCTCAATTAATCGGCATATAGATCATTCCTATACTTGCCTAGGTGCATTTTTATCAATCTGTTGGCACTGTTGATTACCTGCAAAGACTCATTATTCAGCCTGTTGATGCTCTGCTCACACTATTTGTACTTATCTGTTGACACTCTTAATTACCTGAAATTATCTTGCCATTATCTCTCTGCCGATAAATTCTGTGCCTGTGTGCTTCTCTCCACTTCAGCTGATGAAGGAGCAGCGCTCCAAAAGCTTGTGATTTTAAATAAACCTGTTGGACTATAACCAGGTGTCGTGTGACTTCTGACTTTTTCCACCACAGTCCAATACTGACACCTCCACATCGAAACTATATTTCTCATTCTTTCACCGTTTGCTTTCCAATTCATTGTAGAATCATAGAACCCCTACAGTATGGAAACAGGCCCTTCGGCCCAACAAGCCCACACCGACCCTCAGAACATCCCACCCAGACCCGTTCCCCAATAACTCACCTGATCTACACATCCCTGAACACTATGGGCAATTTAGCATGGCCAATCCACTTAGCCTGCACATCTTTGGACTGTGGGAGGAAACTGGAGCACCTGGAGGAAACCCACACAGACATGGGGAGAATGTGCAAACTCCACACAGACAGTCACCCGAGGGTGGAATCAAACCTGAGTTCCTGGTGCTGTGAGGTAGCAGTGCTAACCACTGAGCCACTGTGTCGCCCCTACTTTCAGTCTGTGTCCTCTCATTACTAACCCTCCTGTCAGTGATTTTCTTTCCGTTTCATTAAGAATCTTTAAGATTTGAAGAACGTCTGCCAAATCTTCTCTTCACTGTCTCAGTTCCAACAAGAGCAGCTCCACTTTCTTCAGTTTCTTATCATCGCTGCTGTCTCTCAGTCCTGACCACCAATCAGGTCAAGCTGCTCCACTCCCTCTGCACGTTCACATACACCATTCCCTCACCACTGGTTGGAATGTTGTGTCTTTGTATTTACGTTGAGTGCCAGAACTATGGCTAATCCTTGTTAAACTCCGCTATCAACAACATTTTGTTCCTCCAGAATGCTCAGCCTCTGCAGTGGCCGATTTGGTTTTTCTCGTTGACGGATCATGGAGTGTGGGGAGGGCAAATTTCAAAAAAATCAGGGAATTCATCTACTCCCTTGTTTCTGCGTTTAATATTGGAGAAGATAAGACCAGAGTTGGAATTGTGCAGTACAGTTCGGATACAAGGACGGAGTTTGACCTAAACAGATACAACCGGAAGCAGGATCTACTGAGTGCGATTACTAATCTTCCTTACAAGGGAGGAAATACTATGACAGGTGCAGTGTGTCATTTTTATCTTGCTTTCAAGTACTCCAGCTGTTCTATAAACTGGGATTTAAAGTCAATGTAAGATTAAGTGTTAGTTGTAGATGCTCATTTATCGAATATAATGAATATCTGTATGTGAATTGGAGGCTGAAATCTAATCAAAGGGTTTAGGTAGGTTATGGACCAAATTATGAATGTGAGTTAAAGGCTGGAAATTAATCAAAGATTCAGGTCATATGGGGAAATGAGAATAACAGGAAAGCAATAACCTCAGGAGAATGGACTGTCTGTGGCGAATAAAACTGTGTTGAATTATGTGATTGATTTGGAATTATCTAATGTTTGGTTCATAGGTGAAGCCATTAATTACTTGGTACAGAACATCTTTAATGAAGCTGCTGGAGCAAGAAAATCCTATCCCAAAATAGCGGTCATCATCACTGATGGCAAGTCCCAGGACCCTGTGACAGAAAGTGCTGAAGCTCTACGTAATATTGGGGTTGAAGTATTTACACTAGGTGAGTTTGCTTTTATACTTGAAATTCTTTCTTTAGCACCAAACCACGCTTACTTAGCAATGCACTCAGACTGTACAGCATGGAAAGGAAAGGGACCATCCAGCCCTATCAACCTCTTTCTTCCTCTCTACAAACCTCTCTAACGTAGACTCAACATGCTGAGTGTTCTGTGGAAAAATTCCGTAAAGTTTCTGGCTGTGCTGCCCAAGATAAATAAACTAGACTATAGGTTCGATCCTGCATTGAACCTTATATTCCCACAAGCTGCTGCTTTCTTTGGCAAAAGTCTAATGTCTGCAATGTCCACATCTGTCCAAGACTTGAATAGTTCTCCTATATCTGGGGAGCCTGTTTGGCACCTCCTTCTCACACTCCTGGGCAGAACACAAAACAAGGTTTGTTTTCTCAATTTGGAACTGTCTTCCTACCTACAGCCCAAATCCCCTCTCTCTCACAACCAGTCTTCCCTTTCATTTGATTGTGAGTCAGATGTATCGTTGTTCATCATCACTTTCTTTTCTCATCCACTCCAGATTCCAGATGTATCATCTAATGTACTGTTCCTTCCTTTTTCTCTTGGTACTGTCTTCTGCATGGAATTCTTCTTTTCCAGAAATGAACTGTTGAGGAGCTCCTCAATGCCTTTCAACTTTCTGCCTCGCTGTGTGTAAATTGGCTGCCATATTTGCTCCACTACACTGGTGACTACACTTCACAAGTACTCCATGGACATAAATTGCTTTGGGACCTCCCATGGTTTGAAAGGTGCTATGTAAATGCAGGTCTTTGTTTTCCCTCTTTCTTTTGTGTACAATCTAAAGGCTTCTAAATGCCAAGCCTGGTGGCACCTAATTAGCTTTTCTTGATTTTCTCTGTTTCTTGTTCTAGTTATTTTTCTGAAGTATGGGGTGCTGAATTAAACCTGCCTGTGAAATGAGAGTGAATAATTTCCGTGCATACTGAGATCTTTGGCTTTTTTCTTATGGATGTGAGCCATGATGGAAACACGAAGGCACCCAACAAAGTTTTGCAAACATGAATGATTAAACTTTTATAAAGCATCACTTGTCAGTTTTCTTCCAACGCCATGCATTGAAATAATCAACGCAAGCTTTTATCTGGTCCAATATCATTGTGCTTTTCCCTTCCCCAGGTATAAAAGGAGCTGATTTGGATGAATTGAAATTAATTGGCTCCTCTCCCTTAAACAAGCACGTGTTCAAGGTGGCAGACTTTGACAAGATCCAAGATGTCCAGAATGAAATAATAAACCTGTTGTGTTCTGGGATTGAGGAACAACTCAGCGATATCGTGAGTGGGGAGGAAGGTAGGATTTCTTAATGGTTGAGGGGGAAGCCTCTTCCTTTCCACTAGAACTGAGCAGTAATTGTGCATGTGCTCAGGTCTCTGTAGAATCATTCGAGGATGGTTAGCTTGGGGGCGAGAGGAGGACTTTTGGCGAAGTTGGGAGAGGCCAGGAGAGTATTTAATCCGCAGAAGAGTTGTTGGAATTACACACTTCAATGTTTCCAAATATGCTGGAGGAGCTTTCTGCAAATATTGGAGTGAAGTTTTTTTATAATTTGCTAAAATGAATGGATGTTGCTGGTTTGGCCAGCATTTATTGCCCATCCCTAATTGCCCAGAGGGCAGTTAAGAATCAACCACATTGCTGTGGACGTGGAGTCACATATAGATCAGACTAGGTAAAGACGGCAGTTTCCTTCCCTGAAGGACATCAGTGAACCAGATAGGATTTTCCTCCAATAATCAACAATCAATCAACAATCAAGAATTCTGAAGAAGAGTCACTCAACCTGAAATGTTAACTCTGATTTCTCTCTATAGATGCTGTCAGTCGTGCTAAGCTTTTCTGGCAATTTCTGTTCTTGTTTCAGATTTATACAGCATCCACAGTTCTCTTGGTTTTTATTTTGTCAGAACATTACCTGGGTCTCTGCATTAATATTCCAGTAATAAGAGACTCCCTGGTCATGGAACTGGGTTAGTATGATGAAACAAAGAGCTGCGGATGCTGGAGATCTGAAACAAACCAAAACAGTATTTGCTGGTGGAAGTGAATAGGTCTGGCAGCATCTGTGGTAAGAAAGCAGAGTCAATGTTGCAAATCCAGTGATTCTTCATCAGAATAGTTTAGTCCTTTGTCAATGCTGCTGTCATGATGACTGTCTCACTGAGGCGTGATCCAATAGACGTCTTTAACATTGTGAAAGAGCTTGATAGGGTAGCTGTGGAGAAGATATTTCCTGTTTTGGGGGAGTCCAGAAGAAGGCGTCATGATTAGCAGATCATCGTCAATGAATCCAACAAGTAATCTAAAAAAATCTTTTCTTTTAATCAGAGTGGTGAGAATATGAAACGCAGGGAGTAGTTAAGGGAGTAGCCACATGGAATATAAATGCTGGCATTGAACAAATGGTCAGTTTCTGAGCTGTAGCATCTATCCTGCTGAGTGAAGTCAATCAAAGACTGAAGTTTTAACATTTACATTGTATGCTTAGAACATTTCTCAGGAAGTCTTTTAATGTCTTAATATTTTTCCGCAATCAACAGTAGTCGAACCACCTTCCAATCTACAAACCTTGGAGATTGCTTCGAATTTCATGAAACTGACCTGGGATTCATCACCTGGTCAGATCACTGGTTACAGAGTCCACCTCATTCCCATGGTGGCTGGCATTCAGGAGCAAAGTGTCAATGTTGATGCCAGGACCAGGACTGCAGTGGTTAAAGACCTTACTGCTGAAACCGAGTACCAGATTAATCTGTATGCCATGCGAGGGCTGGCATCCAGTGAGCCTGTATCACTAATGGAAAAGACACAGCCAGTCAAGGAGACAATTGGTAAGTTGCCATTTTTGTCCTCCAAAATTCAAAATGCACTCAGCAGATCGATAGAAAAAAGAGCAAGTTATTTTCCCATTGTGGCCACACTGATCAAAGGGACAGAAAGATGGACAAGGCTTTTCAGAAATGGTTTGGGAATCATATAATTCAGAGAGTTACTCTCTTGAGGAAGATAATCAACTATGGTGATTCATAAAGTAAAATAAACACAGGAACAAAAAGGAAATTTTAATAAAAAGTGGAGTCATTGGAAATTGGGGAAACTCTCTGCTGGTCTTACCCAGCGCAAGGAGTCATACCCAAAACAAAACAAGTTATTGTGGTTGGTGGAGGCCACTCATGCCATCTCCAGGAGATCACTGCAGAGGTTCCTCACTATAGTGTCCTAGGCTACCCATCTTCGGTTGCTTCATCAATGACCTTCCCTCCATCATATAGTCAGGAGTGGGAATGTTCACTGATGATAGCATAATGTTCAACAGGTGCTGAAGCACAGCCCAGTAGTAGTTTTATTATGAAATGGGAAGACTGTGAGTTAATATCTTCTTCAAGCACACAGGAAAATAATAGACAAGACCTGTGCCATGTAGCTGTGATGCTTACTACAAGAACTAATTGACCATACGAAGGTCAGGAATTAAACGCTGCCATTTTTAATGGCATCAGAGGTTAGTGCACACAGAATCATACAGTAGGGAAGGAGACCTTTGGCCCATTGAGTCTGTACCACCAAAATTACACTACTACATATAGTGTCCACTTTCCCACATTAAGCCCATGGACTTGAATGTTATGACACTTCTAAATACTTTTTGAAGATTATGAGGTTTCCTGCCTTAACTACCCTCCCAGGTAGTGCATTCTGCACCCTCTAAGGTGAAACCCTTTTCATCAAATCTTCTCTAAATCTCCTGCCTTTCACATTAAAATTAGGTCCCCTTATTGTTGACCCCTCGACTAAGAATAGCAGCTGCTTTCTACTCACCCTTATAATGCTCCTCATAATCGTATACAGCTCAACAGCAATCCCTCTCAACCACCTCTGCTCCAAAGAAAATAACTGAGCTTTTCCAGCCTCTCTTTTGTCGCTGAAATACTCGATCTCTGTCAACATCCTCAACATCCTGTTGAGACTCCTCTGCAACCCCTCCAGTGCAATCACTTCCTTCCCTTGCAGGCTTTTCAACAGGGTAGTACAGCATACAATCCTCTGACAGAGGTCTTTAAGATCTTGAAATTGTAGATGAAAAGAAAGTATGTCCATTTGTTGGGAGTTGGGACCAAAGTTATGGTCAATAAATCTAAGAATATTACTAATAAACTCAATTGGAAAAGTCTTTATTCAGAGAATGGTGAGAATGTTGAAATTGTTACTTCAGGGAGTGGTTGCGAAAAAAACATACATACCTTTAATGGGAGGAATGTAAACATATGAGGGAGAATGGGTTGGAAGGAGTTAAATCAGTGGGAGGAGGACTATGTAGGATATGAACAGCAACAATGATTAGTTGAGCCAAATGGCCTGTTTCTATGCAGCAAACCCAATGTTCCATGGTATCTATGAAGATCTGACTTATCACAAGATGACCAAGAGGGCTGTTAACAATTTCTTTGTATCAGAAAAAACTGACAGTGGATTTTATCTTTTGACCCCTGCAGAATGTACCCTGGATGAAAACACAGAAGCTGACGTTGTTCTATTGGTGGATGGCTCCTACAGCATTGGCCTGAGTAACTTTGCTAAGGTCAAAGACTTCCTGGAAACCTTGGTGAAGACATTCCAGGTTGGTCCCAACCGCATCCAAATTGGCCTCGTTCAGTACAGCCGGGATCCCTACACAGAGTTTACCCTCAATAGACATCAAACGCTGGAGGATGTGCTGCGGGCTGTGCGGACTTTCCCCTACAGGGGAGGCTCCACCAACACTGGAAGGGCCATGACTTATGTGAGGGAGAAGGTCTTTGTCCCGGAGAAAGGAGCTAGGCTCAACGTACCAAGGGTGATGGTGCTGATCACAGACGGCAAGTCCTCCGATGCCTTCAAGGCCCCTGCCTTGAAACTGCGAGATGCAGAGGTGGAGATCTTTGCAGTGGGCGTCAAAGATGCAGTGTTTAGTGAGCTCGTGGCTATCGCCTCACCTCCTGAAAATACTCACGTGTACCAGGTGGACGATTTTGACTCCTTCCAGCGAGTGTCAACGAAGCTGACGCAGACCCTGTGTCTGAGGATTGTGGAGGAGGTGAAAGCCATCAAGGCAAGGGGTGAGTGAGTGAGCAAGTTCATTGCTACAACCATTCACATTACATTTCATGGAGCAAACTGTCCCTGTACCCAGAAAACAAAAGAACTGAGATATAAATTTGTCTCTGGCATTGGCATAAAAGAGGTGGTATCATTTTGACTGCTTGTTATACCCACTGTCTTCTTGGTGTTGTATTAATGGAACTAAACATTGGGCAGGGCTTGTATCAGGTACCACAACCCAAGATTAATTACTACTCAACTGCTTGTTTTGCCCAAGGATTCAATGAAAAGTGTGTTAAATTTTTCAAAAACCTGAACCAGACACATTTCAACTGTTCCCACAGCTTTGAAATAGCACCATCCAATATGATCACAGGAATCTCGATGGACTTATGTAAAATTTCTCCATTTGCTATTTGATAAACTTATTAATCCACTCATTGCCAGTCCTGTCAACTTCCATCACAGTCCCTGTGCTGTGGGTGCATCACAGTGCTGTTTAGGGAGGGAGTTCCAGAATTTGATCTCAGCAATACTGAAGGAACACGGCGACGTAGTTCCAAGTCAGGATAATTCAGTAGCTCGGAGGGGAACTGGCAATTGATGGTGTTCCCATACGTCTGCTGCCCTTGCCCTTCTAGATGGTAGCAGTCATGAGTTTGGAAGGTGCTGCCTCAGGAGTCATGCCAGTGTATCTTGTGTAGCCACTGTGCATCAGTCTTGAAGGGAGTGAATATTTAAGGTAATGGATGAGTTGCTGATTGAGCAAGGATGGAGTCTTGAGTGCTGTTGGAACTGCACTCATTCAGGCAAGTGAACAGTATTCCATCACACTCTCGACTTGTATCATGTGGATAATGGACAGGCTCTGGGGAGTCAGGAGATGAGTTAATTGCTGTAGAATTCTCAGCTTCTGATTTGTTCTGGTGGCCATGCAGCTTGGGTAGTAATTGATTCAGTCAGTTTTTTGGTGGGTGAGGACCCCTCATATTTGGTGTTGTAAGATTCAGCTAAATTAGCAAATAACTCTCTCAACTTTGTTAATAGGCAAATTGGGAATATCACATAATGCTAATTCAAGGCAGGAACACCTTACTGTTGAATATTCAATGTGATTTCTTTTTATAGAAGAGAGGGTAATGAAATTTGCAAAGAGTGAACCTTCCGATTAACAGCGGGGCTTGTCTTTGAATGATCAGCTTTTGATTTTCCTTTTGCCTTGTTGATAAGTGTTGGTGTTCAGATTAAGCAGTCCTGATCCAGCAAGAGAACTGGTGTGTTACCGCAATGTTTAATGACCAGAAGATACAGGAATAGAAGCATGCTATTTGGCTTGTCAGGTCACCTTCGCCATTCAATGAGATCATGTCTGATCTGACTATCCTCAACTTCCTTATCCCCACAAGCCTTGATTCCCTTGCTGATTATAAAATTGTCTATCACACCTTTGAATATGGTAATGTTGTTCAAGTGAATATGAAGGTGCAGATCTGTGGAATCAAAGATAACTCATCATTGAAAGCCTTCACGCTGCACAAATATACATTGAAAAGTTAAAATTAAGGACTCATCATTCCATTAAAACCAGTAAATAATTGGTGTCTGTTTCTCTGACTATAGCCTTCACGGCAGCCACGGATTTGCGGATCTCAGAGGTAACATCTCGTAGCTTCCGAATCAGCTGGATTGGAGCTGGCCCAGATGTCCTGTCCTACTTGTTGAAGTATAAAGTGGCAGCGGGAGGTGACTTTGCCTCCATCCAAGTGCCTGCAGACGAGACGACAAAAGTCCTGACTGACCTCCTGCCTGAAACGACCTACCTGGTCAATGTGATTGCAGAATTTGCTGAAGGCAGCAGCCTTCCTCTAGAAGGACAGGAGACCACTCTTGAAGGTATCGTGTGGCTGTTGTCTACGGGATTGGAGTGGTAATTAGCTACAGAATAAGAGTGTACATGCTACCATCAGAAGTTTGAGAATTCAGTCTGAAGATAAAATGCAGGCAACAGTAAAAGAAACTGATTATTATAAAGGCGCAACTACTTCTCTAATGTCCTTCTGAAAGAAGGATATGCATAGATATAGCAACTTTCATATCTACTGGAAATCTCAAAGGGTTTTAGTCAGTGGAGTACTTTTTATAGTGTAGTTCCTATTGTAATCAAAACATTAATGCAATATTTTCTCCTAACTGTCCTCAAAACAGCTACCAAGGCTGGCTAGAATGAGGAGGTGATGTCATAATTGCTACCTGGGCTAGTGTATGGGCAAACTACACTGTTCAACCACTTTATTGTCCAATTAACCCTTGATAGAAAGGATGCCTTTGTATATGCATGCATGAATCTATATTCACACCACATAAATGCCAAGCAATGGCTGTCTCTGATGAGATAATCTACCGAAACTCAGCAGCATCTGTGGAGAAAGAAAATGGAGTTCATGTTTTGAGTTCAACATAACTTCTTCATATCAGGGACTTGAGACATTAGCTCTGTTTCTCTCTTTGAAGATGCTGCCAGATCTCTGTTTCTCCAGCACATGATTTTTATTTCAGATTTCTAGCATCTGCAGTACATTGCTTCTGTTAAGGTAGTCTTTGAGCTTCTCTTGATACACTGCTCCCTCCATGCTTTGCTTCCACCTGAATTGCATCCACATTAATAATGGGCTAGTTAAAATCCCCAATAATTACTTCTTGATTGTTTTTAGCCTTTCTCAGAGCATTTTTCGCATATTTGCTATTCTATTTCCTTACGATTGTTTGGGAGTCTGTGGTACACTGCTAGTAATATGATTACCCCTCTTGTGATTTTCAGTTCAAACCAAATAGTGTGAATGTAAAGTTTTAGCAAGTGTGTGGCCATAGCTGAGGTGCCTTCAGGTGGGACTGGTATGCTGTTCCTCACTGGTCACTCAGGTACCCTCTTCCCAATCTTTCAATGGTAACTGCCCCAATTTTAATGATGCTGATGCTTTAAGGGCATGTTGCATTCTTTGAAGATGTGCATACATGAAACTACAGCCTGTCCACACAGCTTCTGCCACAAAAGTGAAATGAATTTGACCTCAATGGTTCCCCAGATTATTCCATGACTTCTCGCCCCATCGCACATCAGCATCATCCGAAAACGCTGTGCATGTTTCGTGCTGCCTATGTCCATTCTCCCCTCTCTGTTGCCTCCCAGCAAAAGTGGCAGTTCTTTTGCACATTGAACCCTGCCCTTTGCAATTGTAGCATTTCATCTTCTTTTTCCCTTCAAAATAAAGTTTCCAAGGATCCTTCTTTGTACTTTTAGTTCCCTGCGCTAGCTTTGTTTGCTACAAAGAATATTAAATATCTTTCTATCTGTGGAGAGTTTCATTTTAAGCAACTTGACAGTATTTACTGTATTCTGTCCTAATTAACATTTCACAACTCTTCTCGAATTCCCAATTTTCTCCCCTTATCTCTTGAAAAGAGAAATTGCTAAAAAGAATAGTTCTAGGCTATTGAAACTCTCTGCTGATGCTCCTGTGAAGATTTTCAGGAGAAAGCTTGCATGATGAATACTCATCTGTGATTTTATAATCTTGCCTTTATCCCATGTAGTTTTCTATACACAAACTTACAAAGTATACAAAATCCAAATGTAATCACACATGAATATACACAGATGCCAATGTGTGCACAAGCCAACAATGAATAAACATGCACACACACAAACACACAAGTCTACACACACCAACATACATGTGCAGTCCAACATACATACACACCAGCATATGCACAAACTAGCCTACACACAAGCAAGCCAATACAAACATGGACATCATGAACACTCAATTTAACACCCTAACAGGCAACCATGCCAAGGTACATATGCAAACAGCATTTTCCAGCTGGGTGGAGTCACTAACAATTTAAGGCAGACAGGCAAATTGCTTCTTCGTATTGCTTATCTGAGATTCTTTGCCCAGTTCAAACGCTCAAAAATAACTCCGGAGATCAGGTAATCAAACCCATGATCTCTCCAATTCTGTACTTCAAACCAAACCATCCATTAACTCAACACTATTACCAAAATGCTCATTGTTACTGTTTACATTGTTGCCTTATATAACTACTGACTTTCATGTCAGTTTAATCTAGACTTTAAGGTGGATAAAGAAAACTCAGATGAACTCTGAGATGTGAAGTCTCCAGGGGCTTACTGTAATTATCCCCTGGCAGCCAACACCAAACAAAGTTGACTCATTTAATCTCACTGATGCCACATTCTCTGTCTCCTGCTTTGTAAATGGTCTGACCTTGGGGTAGTGAAGGGAAAGAAAGAATTGTTATCATTGCTGCCAGCAAAGCAAAGCATCAAGTGTCTCTTAGATTAAACTGAAAGAAACAACAGAGCCAGTCAACTGTGAAGTTTAATTGGAGGAAGCATTATAAACCACCACTTTGAATCAACATCGCAGTGACTCGAAGAAAAGGCCACATCTGTTTGATAAAAAAAGGTGCAGATCTTAGATGGAAAACCCACATAATGTGCATTTACCAAATAAAATCAGACTAAGCAAAATGAAATTGCTTCAAGAGGGGTTTTCACAAAAGGTGGGGCCATACAGATTCTACCACTGGATTGTGTCCTCTGCTGAACTTGGATTCACACAAATCCTTCCAATGTACTTCCCACTGCCTCACCTTTGTTCCCAAGGTTAACATAAACCCTCAGCGATTGATGGATGCCTTTTAGATCTCAGTTTTGTATGATCTGCCATTCAGTTCTGATCATGGGTGATCTGTAGAGATTTCTGTAAACCCAATGAGTCTATAACCTAGCCTCAATACTTGACTTAGGTTTTCTGTAAGTACTCAGTGTGACAGTGTAGTGATAGGAAATCGAGACTGGGATGAAATTAGGTTCCATTGTGAATAGTTATTGAAACCAATCCCAGTAAAGATTGGGTGGCATGGTGGCTCAGTGGTTAGCATTGCTGCCCTACAGCACCAGGGACTGGGCTTCGATTCCAACCTCAGACGACTGTTTGTGTGGAGTTTGCATGTTTTCCCCGTGTTTACGTGGGTTTCCTCTGGGTGCCCTGGTTTCCTCCCATCGTCCAAAGATGTGTGGGATAGGTAGATTTGCCATGCTAAGTTGTCTATAGTGTCTAGGCTGGGAAGTACGACTAGATATAGCACTTGGACGAATGGGATCAAAGGTTATGGGGAGAAACCAGGATTAGGCTACTGATTTGGACAATCAGCCAAGATTTTGAAGAATGGCAGAGCAGGCTTGAAGGGCCAAATGGCCTCCTCCTGCTCCTGTCTTCTATGTTTCTATGCAGGGTTACAGGGATAGGGTAGGGGGTGGGTCTGAGTAAGATACTGTTCGGAAGGTCAGTGTGGACTTAATGGGCCGAATGCCTGCTTCCACACTGTAAGAATTCTATGATTCTAAAAATCCATAGTTGTGCATTAAAAAAATGTGCAATTTTTAGTTCTTCACTGGAGAAAAATCAGCCACAAAAGTTGCTGGATTTTTCTATAAACTCACCTGGCTCTCAATAGCCTCCTTCAGGGAAGGGAACTTCCTGCTCTGATGCATTCTGGCTTCTGTGTAAATCTAATTACCCTCTGAAATGAGTAGATGAAGTGACTCTGGTCAGTTCCGTGCCACTATAGAGAGATAGGGCAATACATTTGGTGAGTCCCACACTTCAAATATCAAGTTTATCAATAGAATGTTTAGTGTGGTACAACTGAGGTGTACAGAATTCTATAGCGTTTCTCTGCCTTGCATGTACCAAGAGATTCTACGTTCTTTGCCCAGTTCAAATGAAACACAAAACATTCATATTTTCTCAGCACTATTGCTTTATGAACAGTGTTCATTCATAACTAGTGATATTTATACAACCTGCCAAATTAACCTCAAATACACACAGGATATCATGGCTACATTAATTTATAGTGCTCCCGGAACATAGCTGTTACTTTTAGGTGTAAATTTGTGAAAGTTATTATTTTAAAACAGGTGTAAACAGACAGACTAAACTGTTTCAAATGTGTCAAATGCTTCTGGCACCATGTAAACTCTTTCATAGTGAAGGGTCATCAACTGAGTGTGTATTATTTCTTGACACAAGCTACCTGGGAAGGTCTTAGATTTGGGTGATCATATTGAATGAATGATAATATTTTTACAACCTCTTGGGTACATTTATCCAATTTCATCTACACCAGAGCTAACCTCCTGCAAAGAACCACAGACGTTTTGCAGCACAGAAGGAGAACATTCTGCCCATCGTGCTTGCACTGGCTCTCCAAATCAGCATTTCACTTTCTTGCCTTCTGCTATGCCTGGATTCCTTGACTCCATTTAATTGTTTTTTAGAGATGTTAGTTCAGTTTTTATTTAATGCATGTATTACTCTTGAAGTGTAGTTATTTATTATCCAGTCATTCTGTGGAAATCAGTTAATTTCTGCAATTTATTTTGATGACAATCATCGTTCCAAATCCCTTGGTCATATAATGTTGTCTCCCTGATTGGAGCATTCACTTCCTTATTACTGGTTTTAATAACATAACCAGCAGAGCCCAAAATAGACCTAACAGTCATTTTCCCTGAACTGGTTAACATCTGCTCTCTGGAAATGCACAAGGTGCCAGAATTGGTGAAAGCTCTTGAAGGGTTGTAAGGCTACAGAAGGTTACAGAGGTCAGGGTGGATAATAGGATTTAAATATAAGATTGACAAGTTCAAGTAGAGGCATTAGAACAAGAGGAGATATTGAGTATTGGGGTGATGGTGAACAGGACTTGGTGCAGAACAGCATTAGGGCAGTAGAGTTTAGAATGAGTTGAAGTTGGTGAGACACTCTCCAGGAGAGCCTAAACCCAAACAGTAAGTTGGGGGTAGATCACATAACTTGTCCACTTCATCACAAGACTAGAGTGTGGGAAGAAAAATGAGGATAATGAGAAATGTCATTTTCTGCACCTTTGCTGTCGGTGGATAATGTTGACCAGAATCCAGTTTTTGTGATTAATTCACTTCTGCAACAGGTCAGGATTCCATGAATTATTAAACATTCTCCTGGAAAAAGCTGTCCTTCCTATTGGCCCTGTGGGAGTATGGGCACCATAGAATCATAGAATCCCTCCAGTATGGAAACAGGCCATTCGGCCGACCAAGTTCACACCAACTCTCTGAAGAGCATCCCACCCAGATTCATCCCCCTACCCTATCTCTGTAACCCTGAAATTCCCATGGCTAATCCAAATAGCCTGCACATCCTTGGACACTACAGGCAATTTAGCATGGCCAATCCACATAATCTGCACATTTTTGGACTGTGGGAGAAAACCGGAGCACCCAGAGGAAACCCACACAGGCACAGAGAGAATGTGCAAACTCTACACAGACAGGCATGCACCAGATGGGCTGTGACTCACCACCACCTCCTCAAGGGCAGTTAAGAATGGGTAACAAATTATGCCTTTGTAGGTGATGCTGACATCCCACACTCTCTTTAAAAAAAAAGAAAATCATTAACAGTAATCTTGGGTGACCTCCATTGCATAATTCATAACCCTATCTTTCTTCCTTCCTGTGAATATACAATACACTCTCTACCTTCCTGTGTAATTTCCGCCATCGCTTGGAAAGGCTGTGAGGTTAATGTTAGAATCCACATCTGTTTTGATGGAAGTAAATAAGTACGTGCCAACTGATATACTAAAATCTTTACCATTTTTCAGACTTATTTATCCAATCCCATAAAATCTGTGCTACTACAAACCTGCTCACTTAGCTATCATGTCCAAATTTTGAGCACCACTTACACCTTGGGTACCTTTTGAAAGGGAGAGAGCTTGAATTACATCTAATACTAAATGAAAAGCCTTGTCATTGGCGTTATTGAAAATCTTTTTTTTCTGTAGAAGTAAAGTGGCTTTAATGTTATATGAATGTGTGAAACTTCCACATAAATAAGCATCTATCCTGTTAATAATCAATGCCTACAATCCATTCACTTTATTAACGTACAAAAAGAACATAGTTAATTTTGTTTTTCCTTTTTTAAAAAATAAGTTTGTCAAAGGACTCATTGCAGCTGGCTTAGATGCAAGTAACATTATCTTGGCTCAAGTTGTTGGTGTCATGGGCGTCTATAAACATATTTTTGCAAACCAAACTCTTGAACATCGTACATAAATCATGTAACAGTCAGTAAGAGAAGCTTCTAATTTACCCCTGTACTAGAGCACAGCAGCTTAATGCGCTGACTGTAATTTGTAACTCTGACCCTGCGATGCTCTCAGATCACATGGGGAATCAGACATTATGTTGTTCACGCATTTTGCCAAATCCATTGCATTCACTTGTGGCTTATGTAATGGTATCGCGTACTATCCTAGTACAATATTTGAGCACCCTAGCTCTCACATGATTGCTTGTTTGGGGCTGGGTATGTTTATGCACAAAAGTCTTGGGTTCAAACAGATAATCAATTATTCGAAAGACCATCGGATAAAGGACTTAAACAGGAAGAAATTGCAGGTCTATGGTGAAAGAGACATGGGGATAGGACTAATTGGAGAATGTTTTCGAAGACCCAGTACTTGCCAATTGGCCTTCTTCTTTGCTTTATAATTCTAGAGTTAATTCTTTTTTAAGGGCCTACTGCATTTTATTAAGGCCAGCTGTCCAATGCATTGGTAACTCAACTTAAAGGTAGAAAATCTTTCATTCCCTGGCTATGGTTGCTGATTCAGGATATGACACTTGCAATAAACTTCCCAAAATTAAATCAGATTCCAGTATCTGCACTAATTTACTCCTTCCCACAATTATGCAGGGGACCAGGCTATGTAGAGGATTCCATTTCTAAACCTATTTATGGAGAACTTAATCCTTAGTCAGTGAACAGACGTTATTGCTTTATTGTAAAAACTTAAGACTTAGCTTGGTTGGAGAAGCAATACTTGGTTCTTCTTAAATTTAGTCTGAATTTTGTCATTTATTTCTAAAGGAAGTGTGTAGAAAAGTAAGGAAGTTTTGCTGCAACTGTACAAGGCACGAGTGATGCTGCACCTGGAGTATTGAATACAATTTTGGTCCCTTTACTTGTGGAGGGATGTAGTTGCAATAGAGACCGTTCAGAGGAGGTTCACTAGATTGATTCCAGAGATGAGAGATCTATCTTATGAAGAGAGATTGAGTAGTTTAGGCCAATACTGTCTGGAGTTTAGAAGAATGAGAGAAGATCTAATTGGGGTAGATAAGATGCTAAAGGGGACTGACAAAGTAAATGTAGCAAGGATGTTTCCTCATGTAAGGCAATCTAGGATGAGAGGTCACAGTTTTAGGATGAGCGGTAGCAGATTTAAAACCAAGACGAGGAGAAACTAGTTCTCTCAAAGGCTGTAGACTGTTAATCTACATATTGCAGAGTGCGGTAGATGGTGGAACATTGAATAAATTTAAGGAGGAGATAGACGTATTTTTAATTAGTAATAGGTTGGATGGGTATGGGGAGCGGGCAGAAAGTGGAGTGGAGGCTGAGAAAAGAACAGCCATGATTGTATTAAATGGCAGAGCAGGCCGAACGGGTTGAATTACTTACTCCTGCTGCTAGTTCCTTTGGTTTTAAATGTTCTTAAAAAAGCAAATCAATTAAGAATGGAGATAGTAGGAACTGCAGATGCTGGAGAATCTGAGATAACAAGGTGTAGAGCTGGATGAACACAGCAGGCCAAGTAGCATCATAGGAGCAGGAAGGCTCTGAAGAAGGGTCTAGGCCTGAAACGTCAGCTTTCCTGCTCCTATGATGCTGCTTGGCCTGCTGTGTTCATCCAGCTCTACACCTTGTTATCTCAATTAAGAATGGAGCCAGTTTTTTTTTCTTGAAAACGCAGGACACATGTTTAAAGATTTTAGTGAGATATAAACATCTGAAATTAAAACTAATTGATAGCTGACTGAAATCTGGACTATCATTGCTTTTTCATTAATGTATCCCATAGTACTCTGGGCTGCCTAATGCGCCCTGGTTAACGAACAGTAGCAACAGGCCACATGTTGTGAAATGGTGCATGAATGATTCTGACTTTTTGCCTTAGGTTTATGTAATCTAGCTCCTTAACCAGGAAATAATATTTTCCTTGCCATTAACAATGATGTTTTTTCTGTGTTTCCCCATAGAGGTCGGGTCACCAAGTAACTTGGAGGTATTTGATGAAACCACAGACAGTTTCAAGGTCAGATGGACAGCTGCTCCCGGGAATGTTCAGCAATACAGAGTGGAGTACAGACCGGTTTTGGGAGGCGATAGCAAGGAAGTAATTGTTGGAGGTCTGGAGACATTGGCAACCCTCCAGAACCTGCTCCCAGACACCAAGTATTCAGTGCAGGTTATACCTGAGTACCGAACGCTTGTTGGTCAAGCACTGATTGGACAAGGCACCACTAAAGAAGGTACATTTTACAAGAAATTATTGAATTAATAAATGGGAAAATTTAATAACCTTGTCAGAATAAATTTTAAAAAAGCATGTTTTAGAGTGGATTCACACTACAATGGGGTTCTGCTTGTCTCAGTTGGCCAGATGGCAAGAACGTGCTTAGTTAGACTTGGGACCTGCCACCATGCTCTGCCCCTGAGAGTGGGAGAGAGTAGCTAGCCACCCCTGACTAAAGTAACAGCGCAGGATGAAACACCAGCAGTCAGCCCCAGACCTGCCTTCAGGCAGAACGCAAATAACATAAATGCAACCGTCATTGAGCCAGTTAAATCCAAAACATCACAGCCCAACAGCTGTATTGTTGATAGAAACTCATGCAACAATAGAATAATAACGCCAGTCATTTGCTGCTGGCCCTAATCCTGAGAGCAGCCTCTTGTGGAATCTTGTGGAATAATTAATAATTATATTTCTTTCCCTAGAAATTAACTGATGGGCATCATTCATGGTTAGGATTGGGTAGAGTGACATCAACAGTGTGGTTTAGTTCTCACAGCAGCTGAGGTTACCATGAAGATCCTGCCTTCTCAACCTTCCCCTTGTCTGAGGTGAGGTTGCACACTGCCTACTACAATCATGAAATAGACTTAAATTACTCCACCACAGTTATTAATTGCTCTCAAGAAGAACACAAATGAAGGACAAATGACTCTTCAGGACTGCATAGGTCAGTTCTATCATCAACTGTACCCAATCCAATTAACCCCTTGAGGTAAGATTCTGAAAAACCTTGCTCCATCCTTAACTCCTCCAAAGGTAGATGAGGTGGAAATATGGGATCGCATGGGACGTTAGACCATTTTGACAGATTGCTGCTCTTAGTGTGAAGTCTCCCAGGTCTGACTTTGTAGGGTAGGTGATTAGGAAACCAGGAGCGTGCTCTCTGTCAGAGACTACGATGAAACTGGTGTCAGCACAAGAATGAAACTGGAACTAAATTGGACCATCCTTTTATAAACATTGCAGTAACAAATAAAAACAAGTAAAGAGCTACTTGAATTGTTTCAAGATGGTTACCACATCTCTGGATGTTGCACGCTGTCCAAATATCATTATGATTGTTTGTGAAATGAGCTTAAATTCTATGTTTCAATTACCGCATCATAAACATCCCCAGGTACCTGCGATTATGTTTAACATATGTGTTGTTGTCAATGGAAGGGGATGAGTGGAAAATTACATAGTGTTATGATTACTTAAATCTGGTCATTTTCATCATGTGAAACTTTTAACAATTTTATCTGCCAAAAATTATAACTTATTACCAAAGGAATAGTTCATAGTTTTGAGTTTTTGGAGATGTGGGGAGGGGGAGCAGGAATGTTGGGCACAATGGAAAGCTCACAAGAGTGTTGTAAGACACAGAATAGTGGGGCAGGGGTTGTAGACTGGAGTCCAACTCAGTGCCGGGAACAGGGAAGGAAGAAGTTTCTCTTGATGGACCAAAAACATTAACAATTCTTACAGCTACTGATTCTTGCAATGTGGGGAATGGAAGGGAATTCTGCGATGGGTTTAGGGTCCAATCCTGAAGACAACAGAACGTGTAGGAACAGGCAATTTCAGGGCGCTGGTGAAATCGACTTCTGGTTAAAAAAATAAAATAAAAACAGTGTACATTTTTACGAGTTTCTTCAGTGAAGATGTTAATTATCCATCCCAAAACTGGGCAGATGAAAATGTTAATCAGCTCCGTTTTATCTCAGATTATGTGCCAATACATCATGAAAGTGACCGCAAGTTTCTTCCCGAGTTTTGACACATGCTAAGGAAAAGTGAGATCAAAAAGACATTGTGGAAAGACTTGCCGTTGTACCAGCTACAGCACAGATGTTTCGAGGTCACAAGGTTCTGGATTTAAGACCTGAGCACAAGATTTTAGGCTAACATGTCATTGCAGTACTGAGGGTGTGCTGGACTGCTTGAAATGCTGAAGCCACGAATAAACTCTGTGGCAGACAGACAGGAGGCTGGAAGAACACAGCAGGCCAGGCAGCATCTGGAGGAAAGGAACAGTCAATGCTTCAGGTGTTACCCTTCTTCCAGTCCTGCTGTATTCTTCCAGCCTACTGCTTGTCTACCTTGGATTCCAGCATCTGCAGTTTTTTTGTATCTGAACTCTGTGATTGGATTTGAAAGATCCCATGGCACTGTTTTGATGAACAGCAAGAGAGACTCATCCATAGAGCCCTGGGAGCTTGTTGTGCATGTTTCCTGCATTACACCAGTGACTACACTTCAAAAAATACCTCTTGACTCTAAAGGACTTCGAGACAGATATTAGTGCTGAAAAAAGAGACATAAATGCAAATCTTTCCTTTCCCCTACTTTCTTTCAAATCCTTAGGACATCCTAAGGCACTCAACAGTCAATGAAATCCATCCATACTCATTGCTGTCATGAATGTAGTGACCAGAGTATTTTTTGCCATTCTTAGTTGCTTCTGAGAAGGTGGTGATGAGTGTGTAGCAAGCCCTCAGAAATAGCGAGGAGATTTATATTTCCCAAATTATACCTTATTGCATAAAATTGGTAAAAATTTATTCCAAAATGTTTCAAGTTGAAATTTCAGAAGTTGCACTAGAATTCAACTCGTCTCCATACAACATATTCCACTCTTATCATCGAATCATAAAATTGTACAGCCCATTGAGTCTGTACCACCAAAACTACATGAAATCGGTGCTAGTCCCACTTCCCAGCACCAGGCCCATAAGGGCTTCAATTCAATAGTCTTATGATGTAATAGTGTTAATATTTACAATAAATATTCCATGTCAAGCATATACAGGCTGTTGCAAAACAGTTTGCGCTAGAAATTAACTTTTCTCCCTCCACCATATTTCCATTCAGAGGCACCTCAATACAATTTCATTACTCTTCGTGTTCACCATCCACAGTTCTTGTTAAACATAAAGCCTGCAGGGTTCTATAGATTCAAGGGGTTGGAGGGTTAGGTTTGTATGGATTGCTGTTCAGAGGGTAAGAGTAAACTTGATGAGCCGAATAGCCTGCTTCCACACTGTAGGGATGCTATGAAACTCTTTGACTAAGGAATAGGTTAGGCACTCTTAAATGGAGCTTGATCCCATGATTCCCTCTTTTAGACGATTCAATTCCTGAAGCAACCTGACACCAAGGAACAGGCAAAAGCATGTTGCTGTTTTTAAGTAAAACTCAGCTGAGTGCTTTCTCAAATTGCGAGGTAACAGAATACTTTACAAAGCGGCAACCGATGCATATTTCCTTTGATGTTTAAAAGTTGCATGACATTCACACTCAACCTTTTGAATAGTCCCTCTGCAGAACCTTTGGGCAGATCCCCATTAAAATGTGAAGCGGGGATATGTTTCTGTGTGTTATTGTGCTGTGCGTTGATGTATATGTGTGTGCAAGCATGTAAAAAGAAAAAAAAATGCTGTTCATTGTGCATGGATAATTAGCGACATAGTCACAGAATACAGTCTGTGATAAAATGAAGGAATCTTAAAATGTTGACTGATTCGGTGAGGCTGGCCAGATGAACCTAACTGCTTCAGTCATGTTGGTGGTTAGAATATTGCAGTGGGTTAGGGTTCTTGCCTCTGATTGTTATCCAGTTAATGTTAGACCATTAGACCAGAAGAAATAGGAACAGGGGTAGCCCATTCGGCCCCTTGAGTCTACTCCGCCATTCAATAGGATTGTGGCTGATCCGACATTCCTCACATCCATGTTCCTGCTCTTTACCTGTAACCCTTGATTCCCTTGATCTTGCTGCTCTTTATGATTTCAAGCCATATCATTAGCAGTTTGGTAACTTGACTTCAGCTTTGAAATATCTGGAGGCAAAGATCTGGTGCCAGTTAAAGTGGACATGACACTGTCCAGCAGTCATAAAAATCCATCTGATTCCCTGTCCTTCAAAGAAGGAAGGCTTCCATCATTACATGGACTGGTTTATAGAGTCATAGAGCTGTACAGCATGGAAACAGACCCTTCAGTCCAACTGATCCATGCTCATCAGTTATCCTTAATTAATCTAGTCCCATTTGCCAGCATTTGGCCCATATCCCTCTAAACCCTTCCTATTCATACACCCATCTAGATGCCTTTTAAATGTTGTAATTGTACCAGCTTCCACCACTTCCTCTGGCAGCTCATTCCATACACGCACCACCCTCTGTGTGAAAATGTTGCCCCTTAGGTCTCTTTTATATCTTTCCTCTCTCACCTTAAACCAATGCCATCTAGTTTTGGACTCCCCTACACTAGGGAAAATACTCTGACTATTCACCCTATCTGTGCCCCTCATGACTTTATAAACTTCTTTAAGGTCACCCCTCAGCCTCCAACGCTCCAGGGAAAATATATGACTCTAGATCAAAAGAAACGTGGTTGGATCTTTACGACCATCTGAAGGAAATTCTTCTCGTATGCATCAAACCAGCAACTGTGGATGGACATTAACAGCCAGCAGAGACGCAACTCCGGAATGAATAGAGAATAGAAAGTAAACAGCTTGCTGAAACTGAATATCTGACTTGCGCATGATGAATGGAAACTTGAGTGAGGTCCTTGAGGGTAAACCTAGAAGGCAATCTCAGTTAACTCAGTTCCATCAGCAGAGAAAGGGAGAACAAGGCAGATAAGCATGAATATTGAAAGAAGAATTCAGTTATAAGGGAATTAGATTGGGAGAAATCATTTCACAGAGTGAAAGAAGGAGATGGAATGGGGGCAGGGACAGACTGTGCATCAAAGTCTTGACCTTGGAACATTAACAGCACTCCCTGCATTGTTTGAAGATTAAAATTGAAGTAAAAAGAATGGATCCTGCAAGGGTCTGCTTTTTGTTTTGGCAATGCATTGCCAAATGAGGCGATCAGGATCGAAAACCATCCTTCTCATTGCAGCTGGCGAACGCCGAGCTAAGGGAGCTTTAGCCAGCTCCAGCGTGCAGCCTCCTGGGAT